TATATATATATATATATATATATATATATATATATATATATACATATATATATATATATGTATATATATATATATATATATATATGTATATATATATGTATATATATATATATACATATACATATATATGTATATATATATATATATATATATATATATATATACATATATATATATATATGTATATATATATTAAGGACATTATTGTAAATTGATCTATATAACCTAAAATATAATCCTTAACCAAACAAGGTAATATTATATTCCACAATCCAAACATTAAAAGAAAAAAAAAACAAAAAAAAAAAAAAAAAAAAAAAAAAAAAAAAAAAAAAAAACAAGCAATATCAATCGTTCATATGAAAAATCTAATATATCTAAACTAATTTGAAGAAAAAATGCAGTGACATTTTGATAAAATTTTCCAACTTTAAAAGTGAATTTCACAACATCATAAAGTGCAATTTTAACAGTATAGAAACATTCTTGAATGAATCCTAAAACTAAAAAAATAAAAAAAAAACAAAAAAATAAAAAAAAACAAAAACAAAAACAAAAACTATTATGTAAATCATATACATACTAAATTCTAAACAATAAAAAGTAAATCATAAACTCTAAAATGTGACCCCTTAGTACAGTGCACTTTTAAACGGCCCAAATTATACCATATAGTGTTGCAAAGTTCACATTTTTAAATTAGTGAAAAATTATCAAAATATCACTACATTTTTCTCTTATTGTTGTAGAATCGTTAGAACTGACTAGATAGACAGCTGAGATTAGTTATTAATTTTTTCTTGAGAACAAGTTATTATTATTATATAAATATAAAAGAGGGTTCAAGTTAGAACAAACTATCAGGTAAAGGACTGATATGATCATCTATTGGATATATCAACGATTGATGGGTCATGATTGAAATGTAAAACTATCCTGAAAAATATAATATTAATTAGGAATAAATTGTTTGTTGCTTAAAGAAAAGTATAATATTTTTTTTAAAAAAAAATTAATACTTTTAAATTGAAATGTAATATGTAGGGTTGAATAGTTACTTATGAGAAAAAAATTTAATATTAATCAATGATAAATTGTTTAATTGTTACTCATGAGAAAGTGTGTAATACTTATGACGAAAAATGTAATAATTTTGATTTAAAATGTAATATTTTTAAATCAAAATGTAATATGATAGTTGAAGAGATTTTTATAACAAAAATTGCAATACTTATGTGAAAATTAAAAATGTAATACTCATCAAAAGCTCAACCCGTCTCATAGTCTAATTAGACAATTAAATTTGCCTTATTCCAAATATCTCTCATTATTTCAAGTTCTTAATGACCAAATAAGATATTTTAAACTTATTTAATTCCTCAACCCGTCTCATAGTCTCATAGTCTACTTTAGACTTGTCGTATGTGAGTCTAATTATTAACCAATATCGTTTTATTGCTAGAGACAATGAGAACGTGTTCACCAAGTCAATAATCAGGGATTCATATTTCATGTCTACGTCACACCCGATACTTCGCCATCCATATACATTCTCCTTATATATATCTTTGTGTGTGTGTGTGTATATATATATATATATATATATATATATATATATATATATATATATATATTAGAGTATCATCACCTTCCTATAACTCTGAAATTTTAGTTAAAGTTTAATGATGTCGTCTTCTGGGATTGTGGCGCTCCTACTTCTACTGTTCGTTGCCGTTTTGGGGCTCTCGTTGATTTACATATGGTCGTTTTGTTACTTGGCGAAGAATCGGGGCGGAGGCGATGCCGGGGCGGGGAGGTGGCGGCGGAGACGGCGGCGAAGGATGGTGGAGAAATGGGGCTGTCGGCGGCGCAACTGGAGAGGCTTCCGAGAATCAGAGGCGGCGATGGGAATGATTGTGCGGTGTGTTTGGATGGAATCGAGAGCGATCAGGTGGCTCGGATGGTTCCCGGGTGTAAGCATGTGTTCCATCTGCGATGCGCCGACACGTGGCTGTCTAAGCACTCGGCTTGTCCGTATTGTAGAAGTAAAATTGGGCCGGAGCTTCTTCACCTGCTCGAAAATAGTCCGTGTTAAACTTCGACCTCTTAAATATACCTATTAAATCAGTTAGTTAAGTCGATACTAACAAACAAGGGTCGTCCAAAGTTTCTCTTTGCTTTGTTGTTAGGGTTTAAACATGTTCATGTGTTGGGTGTATATATATGTTTGATTGATGAGTACAAACAGCTATACTTGATTGTAAAGGGTTAAACTTCTGTGTAATATTGACCATAAGAAATTCAAATTTGTGAACTTTGAATCCACTTTTATGATAAACATCTCACCAAATGGCCTTAATAAAATAACATCATTTTCTCTTGGGTACAAATTGCATATGAGATGGTAAAGTTGATTTCATGTTATTTTATCAACAAAATTTTCGATTATTTATTTCTTTTTGTTGTATTAATTCTTTATTTTATAGAAACACACAAATTCTAATGAATGGCCAGATGTTGTTAAAATTTGGAAGGCATCAAGAAAAAAGTTTAATAGAACTTAGTCCGTTCCAAATGTAAAGTAAATCATGGCACGGAAATTGTAAAGTGATCTGGGGTTGTGGCGCTCCTGCTTCTATTGTGCGTTGCCGTTTTGGGGCTCTCGTTGGTTTACATATGGTCGTTTTGTTACTTGGCGAAGAATCGGGGCGGAGGCGATGCCGGGGAGCAGGTCCGGATTTTGGACTGTGCAAGTTGGGCTACCGCACAGGGCCCCAAATTTTAGAGGGGCCCCAAATTTTAGAGGGGCCCCAAATTTTAGAAGCTCAATATTTTATTTTTACCTAATTAGTTTAGAAATAAAAATTAAAAGTTTTTAACTAAACTTAAAAGGCTTTATAAAGAAATGGTAGGAACATATATTTATTGTATTTTAACTTTGAGGTCTAAGGTTCAAAATTTGTGCATACTATTATTATTATTCCATAATATGTCTATTTTTACATGTGTGTTGCACGGAAAAGATTTGTTATAATCAATCTTAAAATTATAATAATGAATATTATATAGTGTAATTGATGAAATGAGTTGTATCGATTATGCTTTTTTTTTTTATATTATCCTTGCTTGAATTCGAGCAAATAATTGCCCAATTATCCGTGCAGTGTGCGTGCGATGCACGGATAATTTTTTTTTGTTATATATTTAGATAATAAAATTACGGTATTAGTTTTATAGATTTTAATTTTAGTAGGGCCTTATTTATTTATCCGAACAGGGCCAAAAAAATCTAAAAACCGGCCCTGTCGGGGAGACGGCGGCGAAGGATGGTGGAGAAATGGGGCTGTCGGCGGCGCAACTGGAGAGGCTTCCGAGAATCAGAGGCGGCGATGGGAATGATTGTGCGGTGTGTTTGGATGGAATCGAGAGCGATCAGGTGGCTCGGATGGTTCCCGGGTGTAAGCATGTGTTCCATCTGCGATGCGCCGACACGTGGCTGTCTAAGCATTCGGCTTGTCCGTATTGTAGAAGTAAAATTGGGCCGGAGCTTCTTCACCTGCTCGAAAATAGTCCGTGTTAAACTTCGACCTCTTAAATATGACCTATTAAATCAGTTAGTTAAGTCGATACTAACAAGCAAGGGTCGTCCAAAGTTTCTCTTTGCTTTGTTGTTAGGGTTTAAACATGTTCATGTGTTGGGTGTATATATATGTTTGATTGATGAGTACAAACAGCTATACTTGATTGTAAAGGGTTAAACTTCTGTGTAATATTGACCATAAGAAATTCAAATTTGTGAACTTTGAATCCACTTTTATGATAAACATCTCACCAAATGGCCTTAATAAAATAACATCATTTTCTCTTGGGTACAAATTGCATATGAGATGGTAAAGTTGATTTATGTTATTTTATCAACAAAATTTTCGATTATTTATTTTTTTTTGTTGTATTAATTCTTTATTTTATAGAAACACACAAATTCTAATAAATGGCCAGATGTTGTTGAAATTTGGAAGGCATCAAGAAAAAAGTTTAATAGAACTTAGTCCATTCCAAATGTAAAGTAAATCATGGCACAAAAATTATAATCATATAAATATTGTGACATTTCTTTAATTAATTTACTCAATAATGCATGCAATAATATATAGCACTACTACTCATAACAATAAGAAGTTCATCATTCAGCTCGCACGGGTGTAATTCAGTAGTTTAGTGACATTGATAAGGAAATTATGCTTGTACCCCTTTACTTAAGGGTTGTAAAACACCATGTTAATGGTGGAACAAATCTGATAGTTAAATGTCTATTTCGTCCAAATTAAAAGACGAGTACCAATTTTAAAAAATACAATAATCGGAAGACCATTTGTTGAAATTAACTCTATTCTAAATGTTCACAATTCAAATATTAAAAAAATAATAATAATAATTTAGGACTTACAAAGTGTCCATGGTATAACAACAGAAATTCCTCTCTTTCCATGTTTTGTTTGTCTTGTCATTCTACATAAACTGTAAATGTTGATTCTCTAACTAGTAACTACTCTATTGCAGCTCTTGTTACACTTCAAAAGGTGCATCATTGTATTTCCTTAAATCACAATAAAAAACTACATTTTTGGGGCACAATTTATTCCTGTATTCTTAAATGAACAAAATTTATTAGGGCATGCTGATAGCAACAAAATCTTTTGTATAAATATATAAAAGGAAAAATGTCAAATAAAAACCCTTGACCTCTTTTTTTTTTAACACACAATTAGACCTCTAAACTTTAAAAATTACAATTAAACACATTAACTTATCATTTTTGTGTCTAAAGACCTAATAGCCGATTACCTACCGGTAAAAGCAGGTAAATAGGGTTATTGTAAATTGTAATTACTACAACACTTGTATTTTTTTTCAACCACTAAATAGGAAGAAATAAAGCATTCTTAACATCTCATAATCAATACCACACGAAAACATAATCCATCAATTGCAGACTTGGATTTTGATATTAATAAATGAATTATTTCCATTTTTGTCCAAAGTCAAGGCATTAATATGAGAAAAAGAATATGTTATTTACAGACCACACCTTCTTCTCAAGTCTCTGGTGAAGAAAGGGTGCCTCAGAGCTTCCCTTGCTTTGAGCCGCTCTGCTGGCTCATAACGCATCAGCCCTTGCAAGAGATCAATAAGATCCCCCGCCGAATGGTCCACATGCTGCATTATGAGGTTCTGCAAAATAACAAAATTTAAAATTACGCCTAGAGCCCAGAGATCCACATTAATATATGTGCAACACGCCCCCCCTAATATATGCGTAGAGATTCGAACCCATGACCTTTGGTCTGGCTCTGATACCAAATTGAAGCATGTGCTCCATCTCAACTAAAAGCCTAAGCTGATAGTTGGATTGCACATTAATATATGCTCAACACGAACTGATAAAAGGACTTGCAAACATAACTTCAAAGTACTATTGGTACTCAAACGCTTGAAATTTCACTGGATACCTGAAGACGGGGCAATTTCCAAACTGCCCGCATACTGTCACTTGAAGCTGCACCCTCTGGCCAGTCCAGCCTAGCACCACCTCTTTTGAAATATTTCTCAGCACGACGGCTACATTAAATAGCGGCACCACTATAACTACAAGCATGCAATGAAAAAATAAAATCTTAAAAAGTTTATAAAGGAAGGTATAACATTCTTACTCAGCTCTCATAATCATATGTTGAGGCAAAGGACCTAATACTCGCTCCATCATAGCAAGATGTTCCAAGTTCTCATGTGTCTGGAAAAGAGCCTCACCCTGTTTATGTACGGACAGAGAGCTGTTAGGAAAAATGAGTACCAACAACCCTACCACCCCCCAAAGATTTAAAGTTGTGATGCTAATCTTCTTTAACAATTTGCATTCCTCTTCAACTAGTAGTTCTATAGTGTTATTCTGGTTATTGAACTATTCTGATAGCCATAAAAGCTGGGTTGACAAAAATTATCAACAAATCCCATATAAACAATCCACTGGTACAAGCTAAGACAGTTTTAACCTAAAGTCAGTTGCACATACCCCAGTAGTACCAAGTAAATTATAAAGAGAGACATATAATGGCTTCACTTACAGAACACAGTTCAACAAGAATGCAACCTACACTCCACATATCACAGGGATAGTTCCATCCAAGACCTGTAGAAAACCGGATTAAAATCAATAAAAAGAAGAAGAATGAATGAATGAAAGGTATAAATTACGAGAAAAAGGTCAAATATAACAGAGACTGATTACCCAAGATAACCTCAGGAGCACGGTAATGACGAGTTGAAACCACATAACTATGATCTTGCTGTTCAAATGTAGTACTGCCAAAGTCAATAAGCTTAATAGCACTTGACTTGGGTAAGTTCCTGAAGTAGGAACCATCTTTTGCAGGTCGTGATAGGAACTTCACAGCAGACAAAAAGAGACATCAGCATATGGCATGACTAGAGTGATAGGACAAAAACCATGCATTACAATCAGATTGTCTTTCAAGAAACATTATAACTAGTGATGTACTGATGCTACACATTCTACGTATATTAAAAGTTAAAAATGCAACCCACTTATACATTTAAATAGGCTTATTGGTGAAAAAAAAATTCAAACCTTTACGCTTTGTGACAATTATATCCAAACCTTTAAATTTTGACAATTTAATATCCAGTTAGTGAAGTTGGTATTAAATAGTGAAAATTTAAAGGTTTGGATATAATTGTTCTAAGGCATAAAGGTTGAGTTTTTTTCACCAATAAGACAATTTAAATATATCAAATATAGTAATATTTTTACAACAGCACAGCAAACAATCATTGGACAAAATGGAAGTAAGAGTGTGTATTTTTGTGTTTCACTGAGCAAGTATCCTACTTTTAGTGTCATTGAAGTTGTTCCCACCCTCAACTGGCCCCAAAAAAGGAAACAAAATAATACGAAGTAATAATAATAATATAAAAGGAAAAAGAAAAAAATTAAAGTTGTTACTAAATTGACTTCTGCATGGTTTATTATTAACTATTAAGTAATAGCTACGTGAAACTGATTTTACATTACGATCATTCATCCAATAGAAATCCTTGCACTATCCAAACTGTCTTCTTTATATTTTTGTTCAAGTATACGCACAGGAACACACATTTATATACAGAAAGAATACACACACATTCTGAAAAAGATGTGATATTAGGTTTCACCTTGTAATCTGGTACTTTAATATATTCTGACGATACAAGGAGAATATTTTCTGGCTTCAGATCAGTGTGGATCAACCGCAGATCATGCATAACTGCAAAGAGAAGTCACATACTAAGCAGGGATCACTGTATTGACAGTTTGACACTATGGTTGCACCATATATATTTATTAAGACAAACATCACAGATGTGAAAAGGATTAAGAAAGAAAAAGGAAAAAGATCTCAAGCTCCAGTCCTTTAGTTAGTATATTGAATGAGGAACCAAACTAGCAGTTGGTGCTAACATCTAAGTATCACCAATAATACTTTTAGAAACAAAATCTAAGTGAAATAAGAGTGTTGTAAAGATTATTCACACACATGCTACAGACTCCAAAAGTTGTCTTCCAAACTCCCGCACAAGATCAATTGGAAATGAACGATAGCTGTTTTTGCGTAGATAATCATATAAGCTTGGACCAAGCTTCTCAAAAACCTGTTAAGATCATTTAAATCCATCCGCAAGTTTTTAACTCACAGAATATTCAGGTTTGAAGGAACAGTAATGCCGCTCCATATTCAAGTAATCAATAAGCACCAATAGATACTTACAATACATATATGATTACGATAGTCAAACCAATTCCGAATTTGCACACAACTGCAAAGAATAAAACCACTTGTACCAAAACCATTTCAAATTTTTAACAGTAAAATCAAGCCAAAGGGAAAGAAGATGCTCACCGTTTGCCACCAATATCATGCCTGGCAAGTTTCTGTAGAACATCAATCTCAACCATAGCAGCATCCCTATACTTGTGTATTGAACGAACCACTTTGATAGCCACAAGCTCCTTCCTTTCATTGTCCAGACATTCCAGGACTTGTCCAAACGTCCCTGCAAATCAGATTGAAAAGAAAGAATCACAAATGTAAGAACATCATATCCATGTGAATATATCCTAACACCAAAAGAAGAAGCAAACTAGAAACACCACATGAAGAAGCCTTTGTAAGAAAAGGGCGGGCAATTTTAATCTCTAGTGAACAGTGAACTTATGTAAAGGCACATTTTTTGCTACTGTTCAGGCCACATGTTCAGACTATGAAGGGAATTTTCAAACATTTTCTGCAATCTCCTTGATTTCTAATTGTTAAATGCAACATAGGAAATAAGTAACAAGAATTAATCTCTATTTCATCCAAATGCTTGGGAGTAAGACACAACTTCACAAAAAATTTTATAAAAAATAAAATTCAGTCAGAATCCTTCTGAAACAATGAAGAAGAAGAAGAAGAAGAAGAAGAAATTAATCTCTATTTCATCAATGCTTGGGAGTAAGACACAACTTCACAAAAAAATTTATAAAAAATAAAATTCAGTCAGAATCCTTCAGAAACTATGAAGAAGAAGGAACTTACCTTCACCCATTTTGCTCAGTATCCTATCTGCAGGAAAGGCGGAAGAAGATTATAGGTTGGAAGGAATAAGAGACAGAATACAAATATGAAAAATTATCAGAGAGAAAACAAGAAGTTTCATGAATCCATTATAACCACAGTGCAACTGTAGATTACTATAACCATTCAAAACGCTACAAATGAAAGCACATGAAATGACTCATAAGAAAGAAAAAAAAAAGTGAAAAAAATTATAAATTCTAAGTTTGATATAAAAAGGTTACATAAGAGTTAGAACATAGAAACTATGATCCTATCAATCCTGAAATAGGGAATACTATTAGCTAAGACCCTTGCATAGTTATTCAGTGGTATGCTATGCACATAACTCCTTAGGCAATTTAATAATACAAAATATTTCTATGGACTTACAACGAGGAGTAAGGTTCTCTCCAATGGCAAACACATAATGTCCATCTTTATCATCTGCCCTCCAAGGTGGGGATCCAGTGTTAGGGATCCCTTTGTAATATATAGAAGAATAAGCATAATTAAAAACTGCTCCATTTGCAAAATCTTGCCTACAGTATATTGGTGGAAGGACCTGAAAGCAAAAGGCAACAAAAATGAATGAAAGTCAGTTAAATGACGAAATCATGCAGTATAACCATAACCATTTCAAAATATTTACGCTGAGAACCCACAGAAGTCACACACTATGCCTACAACCAGTAAGCGGCACTGATCACAATTGATTTACATCCTCAATTATTCAACAAATCTTACTCCAGGTAAGATATCAAGAATATGCCAGATGATACCACTCCACAAACTACAGTCATGAGTTGTCAAAACACCACACTGATTCTCGAATGCCACACCAGTAGTAAAACTAGTATGCATGACACCGCTGAGCATAGATTAAGCCAAACAACCAACCAAAGCTAAGCTGCTAATTTAGATTTTTTAGGAAAAATAATAATAATAATCAGAAATCAGGTCGATCACTTAAATGTCATAACTTTACACGTATGGCAAAAAAATAAACACCAAAATTTTGCATTTTTATATAATTCTACAAACAAGGAAAATTCAAACATAGGAAAAGCAGTAAATTCTTAGAAATAGATAGAATATACACACAGTTCATCACACATGAGCATAAAGACACAAACGGAATCGGACCTTTGCAGGAAGAGGAATGGCAGGAGGTACGTCCCACGTTAAACGAGGTCGTTTTCGAGATTGCTTGTCCATATTTCGACGAGGAAATTCCATAATCCTCTGCGTCTCCATCAATTAAACCAAAACATATACAATAATTCTGAGAAATGCAAAAATTCAGAGGAAAAAGTCATAGATTAAATGAGGAAATTGAAGAAAAAACATTCCTTCGAATATATATATATATATATATATATATATATATATATATATATATATATATATATATATATATATTCCCTACAGTGGCTTTGAGCAGATCTGGAGAGACGAGGGAGAAAAGAGGTATGGTGAGGAGAAGTAACCGTGGTTAGTTTATACTTTATGCAACGGGAACGCTGTGGTTAAGCTTCTGATCATGATTAAGGAGTTGGGATTTTTGGCAGTGGGGCCTACTGGATTAGGCACGCGTAAATCAAGTCCCAGTGGTTAGGACCAACGGCTAGTTATTAGCAGGAAAATAATATGCCATTGTCATATAGATTTAGGAGAATATATATGGCATTGACATTTTCTTATCAATTAACTTTTTTTTCAAAAATAATTACGGAAAATATATTTATTGAAAATAACTTTGTTAAAAATTAATTTAACATATTTAGTATTATATTGAAATCATCATAACAATTAAATTACTGGGAAAGTTGTTTTAAATATTTGATTTATTTAAATTTTTTAAGAATTTTTTTAATGTACCCTACTTTACTACATATAACATGAAATACTATACTCTGTAGTATATATGCAATACGTCCAACAACGGAATATGTATAAAGAAAATCTGTCGCAAAAAAAAAAAAAAAAAAAAAAAAACATACACACTTTTTTTTTTTGTGAGTTGTAATTTTTTTTTTTTTTGTGAGTTGATAACTTTTCTCTAATGGTGAAGTGTTTATATATTTCTTTAAATAGGTAAAGCGATACAAATGCGATATATTTATAAAATACGGAGTATATTTTTTAACCTTACATAAAAAATAATAAATATATAATGGAATAAGTTTTATATTTTCGTAGTCACTTTAGAAAAATAATCCGACCTTAATAGACTCAATTCGTTTTCCTTGATTTAAGTACTCTATTTTTAATTGACCTAAACTTTTCAAAGTCAAAGACTTCATAAAAAATTAGAATAATTTTTCTACATTTTAAATTTTTGGTAAAGTTTAAACTTACCTAACTATCAATTACCAAATACTCTCTACAAATATATAGGGGTCTGAGTGCAAAATAATACAGAGTAACATATATACTGTATTTTTTAATCCATTTTTTCAATTAGACCTTTAAAATGTCTTCGTATCTAAACTTGTTTAATAACAAAGCAGTCTCAAAACATTTTAGACAAGTTTCTAGTGACGTTTCAATGGAAAAACTTGTCTCAACGTATCAACGCTCCTTTGAAGTGATGTTTCAGTGGCGTATTTGCTTTAATACTATAAATTTCAACTTAAGAGGTAAAAGTCTAGTGGGAGTAATAAACTAGTAATATTAGAATGATACGCTTTAGGGTGTTTGATAAATAGTTGTTAGATAACTGAGTTAGTGAGTTTGATTAGTCGATAGCATTAGCTGATTATAATAAAATGTTTGATAAATCAGTTATTAGTTTTTTTTGAAAACATAAATTAATTATTAGTTTTTTTTAACAACAGTAAATTAATTATTAGTTGATACTTGATAGTTTATTACATGCAAAATGATGTTCTCAAAAATTGATCGAAAAAGCTGTTTTGATCAACTTTTTAAATTTTAGCGTTTTGGAGCAATAAGCTGTTACAAAAAAATCAATTAATTAAAAACTTATATTGGATGTTTAACCACGTCGAACAACTAATAGTGATTAAATAAGTCAAAATTAATCGATAAACTAAATATGGTTAATATTTATATACTTTTATTTGGTCGAGTTAATTTGTTTTTTTTTTTTTAATTATTTATAAGGAAGGAGGATATCCTACATATACACACTATTTACCTCAAATGAGGTTCGAACCTTACGCCTCCCACTTAGGAGAGCAACTCGATGCCAGTGGACTACCGCAAATTATGCTGTGCAACCGAATGCACCTTGCAAGGTGCATACGGTTGCAAAACGGCGCCGTTTTGGTTAAAAAAAATGCGCGTCCCACTTAAAGAAGAAATCAGGTTCGATTCCCGGCAATAGCATTTTTATATATCCAGAAATTCATAACTATATAACCACAATTTCATAACTATATATCCACAATTTCATAACTATATATCCACAGTGAATGAATGAAGTAAAAATCCACAATGAATGAATGAATGAAGTAAAAATCCACAATGAATGAACTAAATATCCACAATATATGATTGAACTAAATATCCACAATGAATTAAATAAATATCCATAAATTCATAACTATATAACCACAATTTCATAACTATATATCTACAATTTCATAACTATATATCCGTGAATGAATGGAGTAAAAATCCATAATGAATGAATGAATGAAGTAAAAATCCACAATGAATGAATGAATGAAGTAAAAATCCACAATGAATGAACTAAATATCCACAATATATGATTGAACTAAATATCCACAATGAATGAACTAAATATCCATAAATTCATAACTATATAACCACAATTTCATAACTATATATCCACAATTTCATAATTACATATCCACAATAATGATATTGCTGAGAGTCGAACCTAAATTTTTTTTAAAATGGGACGCGCGTTTTTAATCAAAACGACGTCGTTTTGAACCGTATGCACCATGCGCATGGTACATTCGGTTGCACAGCATAACTATTGGTGGACTACAAGCCACTTGGTCTGGAGTTAATTTGTTAATTAGTGCCGAAATGTACTTGGCCCAATATAATAGGCCCAGAAATGAATTTGATCTCATCTAGGCCCCTCACCGTGACGGACCGTAGCCGGCATCGCCACCGTCACCGAGTCTGCAAGTTTACCTCCATTTTCACAAGGGTTTTTTTCACCTAAGCTTTTTCTTCTTCTTCTTCGCTCTAAACCCTAGCAACCATGAATACCATCAACAATGTCTCTGCAAAACCAAACCTTAAACTCTTCTCCTCTCTCAGTCACCATCATCCAATTTTATCCCGACCGGTTTCTTCCCTCTCCTTCAGGACCCCGCCATCATCACAGCCGTCCATCACAATCAGAGCCTCGTCATCATCGTCTTCCCCTGAAGCCCCGAAACCCAATCTCTTCAATGCGCTAAACCCTCAAAACCCTAGCCCCGCGCTCCGTCAATCCCTAACCCCGCCCTCGTTTCAGCTCCCCCTTTCTCTCCTCAAATGCACCGTCGTCACCACCGTGACTGCGGCGGCGCTTTTCTTCGGCAGGTTTTGTGTTATGCAAAAACCGGCCGTAGCATCCCCCGTTTCAGCCCCGGCCGCCATGGAGACCGCGTTTTCCGACGAGGATAAAGAGAGAGTTCTGGAAGAGAATTTGCTATTGAATCCAAACGATGTTGGAGCGTTAAGGAGTTTGATGGAGATGAAGATCCAGAGCCGGAAAATTGCAGAAGCTATTGGCATTATCGATCGATTGATGGAGATTGACCCGAGCGATACGGAGTGGCCGTTACTCAAGTCCCATTTGTATGCTTACAGTGGAGAGGTGGAAACGGCGAAAAATGGATTCAATGAGATTCTGGCAAAGGACCCTTTTAGGGTTGAGGCTTATCACGGACTGGTAATGGCTGCATCCGAGTCCAAATCGACCGAGGATTTGAAGGAAATCGAGAAAAGAATCGAGGAGTCGATGAATTTGTGTAAGAAGCAAGGCAAGAAGGCAGAATTTAGGGATTTCAAGCTTTTGGAGGCGCAAATTCGGGTGATTGAAGGAAAGCATGATGAGGCTTTGAAGGTTTATCAGGAATTGGTGAAGGAGGAGCCCAGGGACTTTAGACCATACATTTGCCAAGGGATCATATACACATTATTGAGGGAAAACAATGAAGCTGAGAAGAACTTCGAGAAGTTCCGGAGATTGGTGCCTAAGGGCCATCCTTATGCAACATACTTTGATGAAAGTATGATTGCAACAAAGGTTTTTGCACAGAAAATGGAGAACGAAATAGCAATGTCCAAGAAATGAAAAGCTTCGGTTTAATTCAGAGCCCCAAATTGGCCTGTTTGAGTTGTTCCTATTGTGGGATGCGGTATGCTGCAGTTTCTCTGTTGTTGAGTTATTGACAAGCATATACTTTACATATATTGTTTTGCATATGTGATAGTACTACTCTCTATGGTTTCATATTGTAGGTTTAATATCGAGTGTTACTAAGTAGGTTCGTATTTGGAAAGCTGTCAGAAAATTTTGTGGCCAAGAGTATCATATCGGTTCTTAGGCTTTAATCAAATGGTGCCATATAGATTTACCCAACAATTTTGTTTTGTTGCCTTCTTTCTTTCCTTTCTGAATTAAGTTTCAATTCGTAATTTTGAATGGTATCGGTGCTTTGAAGTTAGCTAGCAAGTAGCAACTTTCCTCACCCTCAGCATGCAAAGGTCCTTCGAGATGGAAGGGATGAATGGAGTGACAAACTTCATTAGAATCCTCAGGTGTGATAACTTAACGATGCATTAACAACTTCTGTCATGCCCATGAATTTTTGTTTTTGGATCTCACAAGAATGCTGTAGTGAATTTGTTGTTCAAGGCTTCCAAGTAACGGGAACTAGGTTACTTTTACATTTTCCAGAATATCTGCATTTGGCAGGTGCTATGTTTCTTGTGGCATTTCTTAATTGTTTTGTTTGAGGTGGAAATTGTTGTTTGAAATGGACCTAATCTTCCTCCCTTGTGCTTGTGGCTGAGACTTTAATTTTCATATTTTTCTTTCTAATGATCTACCTACCTCTTAGCAATATGACCATTCTTCCTTACATGTTTAGTTGTGGGATCACCATCCATCTTCTTCTACATTTCTTGTGGTGTAATAGTTTATAGTAGTAGAGGTTGCACAGGGCAGCCCTCTTGTAATTTTTTGAATTTATCTAATTTTCTAGTCAGAAAATGAATAATAGGGTTTTATTCAAAAAGAAGAAGAGGCTCTCTGAATGGGAAGTCATGGGGGGCGGTATTAACTTTTTGTGCTTCAATAGATTGAGAAAGTAGTTATGAACAGATACTACCTTGTAACAGAGTCAATATCATTAAAAAAAGGTTTTATGTTTTTTTTTTTTTTAAGGAAAAAAGTTGTATGTTAAAAATTGGAGAATGAAAAATGGTGTTTAATTTTCTATTTTTTCAAGTTAACTTTGATCCCTCAACTATAAAGTAGTATTATTCTCAACATACATTCTTTGTTGATAGTAAATCCGAAATGTTCCTTCATAATGATATCTTTCTCTTTATTTATTATTATTTTTTAAAAATAGCAAAATTTTTTGTCACTACAAGTTAAACATATTTTTATAACCTAATTGACAAATTTGTTTAAACATTTACATCTTATTATCTTATCACTATTATACAAATAATTTAACAAAAATTTTAAATGCTTGTATTATTTGAAACCAATTTTATTCTGACTCAAAAAAAAAAAAAAAAAAAAAAGTTATGACAATTGATATTGTGTTTAACAAGTGGTATTCTGGTAATTGGCTATTTTTCTGAACAGATTCTATGATTGTGGAAAAATCGACCACAGTGGGAGTCGAACCCAGGACCTTTTGATCCGAAGTCAGACGCGCTAATCCACTGCGCTATGCGGTCTGTTACGTTCATTTAATACAAATAAGTCATTATGAATGATATATTTTTATGCGCGATATTAGCTCTCTTTTTCTTGAAAATTAATAATCATATTCTTTAATAATTGATTTTTTTTTTTCCTTTTCTAAAAGAATTTCTTTTAGCCAAGTAGCATATAACTCAATTGTTCAATTGCATTTTTGTGACTCTTCTAAATAGAAAGTCGCATATTTGAATCCTAGTGAGAGCATTGACTTTTTGTACTTCAATAGATTGAGAAGGTATGCAAGATAGATATTATATTGTAATAGAGTCTATAATTTTTTATTTTTTTTTTTAAAACTTCATGATCTTCTTGGATTGTTCATAACTGATTGACTTAAACCAAGAAAATCAGTAAGTCTCCCACTAAGAGTCGAACGAAGGACCAACTTGGCAGGTAAAGGAGAACACTTATACCAAAAGAGGTTTCATTTCTTGTTACTTAGGAAAAACAAAAATGGATAAAATGTTAGAATAATTATTATTATTGATGTGGCTCATTAATAAATAATTTTAAGTTCCCAAATTATGATAAATAACCATTTAAATTTAATAATGGTCTAATTTGATTATTGGTTAGTTAAGAAATAAGATAGTAGTTTCAACGGCTCATTAGGTAACTTCTCACGTAGGGATGGAGCCAGAAATTCGATTGAGGGGGGCGAAGAAGTAGGAAAGGATTCAGAATTTTTTTAAAAAACATTAAAACAAAAGAGATAATTTTAAAAAAATAAACACTTATATATATGTATGTGTATTAAATATTAAACAGCTATTAAAAACGTGACTGACTGTTGAAGCCAACTATAAAAATATACGTGAATGCCAAGATTCAAACCCCTATCCTTTAACATAAATTAATATGTGCTCAACCAACTCATCTAAATCAACCCTTATTGACATTTAATAGTTTTATTTTACTAATACTAACACATATACTATATATACATATATACATACAAAAATTATATATGGGGTGGGGTGGGGTGAGGGGGGCAGCTAACCCCCTGCCCTTCCCCCCCTCCCCCCTTTGACTCCGTCCCTGTTCTCACGTAGAACGTGAGACTGTTTTTAATTATTTTGAGACTCTGATCCTCTTTTTGATCTTCTAAAAATATCAGTCAAGCCTCGTTAATCGAACTGGACATAGAAAATGGGACGGGGGTTGTAATTGACAATTTTTTAAAACATTTACATCTTAATATCTTATCATTATTACACAAATAATTTAAATGCTTGTATTGTGTATAACTAGTGTAGTGTCAAAGTCAAACTATCAAAGTTCTATTGTGGTAATTTTGTGTATTTGGGCATTTTTCTGGACCATTCTCAGATTTTTAATTGTGTAGTGTCGAAGTTAGACCTGGCAATTCGTGTATACGGGTCCGTTAACGGGTCGACACGATAACGACACGAACATGATAAGGCTAAACACGGACACGACACGTTATGATTAACGGGTTTAAATTTTCAACACGAACACGAACACGATTTGTTAACGGGTTGACACGATAGACATGTTTTGTTAACAGGTTTCAAGTCGTGTCGACACGATATGACACGAAACTCGTTTAAACCCGCTATTTCTATTAATATATTTTTAAAAAACTAAAATTTAAAGTTAAGTTCTATAAAAAAGAAATAACCAACTAAAAAATATCCAATTCATAACATTCATAAAATGATAAATTTCAAATTGTTGAATGGTGTAGGATATTGGCCTACTTACTCATGTTCATAATATCATTACACTAACCCGTAATTTTCGTGTCCATAATTGCCAGGTCTAGTCGAAGTCCAACTATCAAAGTGGTATGGTATTTGGTACTTTTGTATATTACCAATGTTTTAGGTTTTGGGCATTCGACCACAGTGGGAGTCGAACCCACAACCTTCTAATCCAAAGTCAGACGCGCTAATCCACTGCGCTATACGGTCTAATACATTTAAAAAATACAAAGAAACCATTATTAATATACTTATGCGTGGTATTTGCTCTCTTTTGCTTGAAAATTAGCATGTCAAAGTATCTGCCACGTCCATGTACTATATTGTTTTGTTTAATTTAGTCTCTGTACCTAAAATTTGTTTAATTTAGTTCATATATTTTAAGATTTAGAATAATCAAGGATAATATTTAACACCGTTTATTTTTTCGTTAAGTCTGTTCACGTGATAATGACATTGCTATGTCAGATTTTGTCAGGGTTCGAACCCCAACTTCTAATTTTTACCATTAAATAATAATAATGATTAAATAATTATATGCCACCTCACAAAATCTGACATGGCAATGTCATTGTCACGTGGAAAGACTTAACTAAAAAAATAATCAGTGTTAAGTATTGTTTTTGATTGTTCTAATTCTTAAAATAGAAGAATTAAATTGAACAAATTTTAAGCATATGGACTAAATTGAACAAAACATACCGTACAAAGACATGTTAGGTACTTTGACCTAATTAGCAATCATATTCCTTAATGATTGATTTTTTTTTTTTCTTTAAATTCTAAAAGAAAAAACTTGAGCCAAGTAGCTTGTAACTGAATGATAGATCTATAACTCTCGCAAATAAGAAGCAAAAAAAAAAACTTCATGGTATCGCTGAATTTTGCCACATTTTTTGTAGTTTTTTTTTTTTTTTTTTTTTTTTTAAAATTCAAATTTTAATGAATTATAAATTGTCACATTATAGAGTTATGAGTTTGTGTAATTGGTAAATGTAAGAGGTATAGCAAGAGTGAATCTCATTTTTGGTCCTATTGTTATAGAGGTGTTTTCAATTTTAGTCCACTTTAATTTTTTTTGCCACTTTATGACCACTATTATTGAATGTGTTTCACTTTTAGTCCACCGTTAGTACTTCCATCAAGAGACCGTGTAATCTAGGGGTATTTTGATCTTTCTTCTCATCCAAGACTATGTTTGACTAAAAAAAAAATGAGAACATTAAACCTAAAACCTAAGAAACCTCGTCGGTCTACATTGGAATGAACGAAACGATGTAACTTTGGCTTCCCATTCTCATTGTTCGAAGAGCCATCTTCGAATATCGGAGGAGGAGGACGAAGCGCCTAGATTAATAGAGAAGAGACAACCATAAAAAGACCAAAATACCCGTGGATTATACGGCCTCTTGACGAAAATATTAACGATGGACTAAAAGTGGAACACATTCAATAATAGTGGTTGTAAAGTGACAAAAAAAAATTAAAGTGGACTAAAATTGAAAATGCCCCTATAACAGTAGGACCAAAAATGGAATTAACTCGTATAGCAATGTCCATTTGCAATAGTTCTCCTCTCCTTCTTTAAATCATTCTCTCTTCTTCTACCAAAATCCTTCTCTCTCTGACTCTCTTCATAGATAGCTAATTGAGTTTAATGTCATTTGAGAAATAACATTTTTTTATTTCTAATTTGTGTTAAATTACACATTTTAGTTTCTACTTTCTAGTGCCTACTACTCTCCTTTTATATTGGAATAAGTGATCGATAGATCATTGAACTTATCATTTATAAGAAATTGGTTATCAAATTTAAAAAAGTGTACAATTAAATTATCAGACAAGTAAAATATTGTGACAATTTTTTTTCAATTATCTCAATAGAATCATATCATATTACTTACATAGTATGTATTAAGAGTTGTCTTTTAATTTTCTTTTACGTCATACTAATTGAGAGTAAAGATTGAAATATTTTCAATTCAAATTACATTAGAAGAAATTAAAAAATATTTCAACTGCACATAATTCGATTACACACTTTTTAAATTTAGCGATCCATTTACAAAACATCAATAAGTTTAGCAACTTATTTGACACTTTTTTCTTATAAATATAGTATTTAGTTGTGTTTATTCTTCTCAAAATGTTGAATCCCCAACCTCAAGGATTTAGTCGTGTTTATGATTTTAGTATTCAGTGTAGCATTTTTATTCTGTTGCCTTAGTATCTCCTTGTCTAACTTCGTTAATTATTCTTACATCTTCAACCTATAAATTGCTGGGTGGAGCATTTGCATATAATTTGCTCGGTCATATCAATTATCAAGCGAGATAGAGTAAAATTAATTTGTTACAATAATAGACTAAAGATCGTGTCGGATTAGGCGATTAACCTTTTATCACAAGAGTAAAAAACAAGACAAAAAACCTTCCCCTTCTCATTATTTATGAGCTAGAATAAAAATAAGCATGCCTTTTAAATGTAGAGCCAAATTACTTACACCAAAATGAAGGCATTACACAAATTCCTTAATGTGAGGGGGCCGGGGGGAAGCTGAGAAATGGCCTAAAAGTGAGCAACACACCAAGTCCCTCAATCACATTTAGAATAAAAAATACCATCTGACTGCCTGCATATAATATCCAACAAATATTTATATTAATGTTTTTTTAAGAGACGAGAGATTACCATAGTCACTATCCTAGAGCATTAGGTAAATCTGGCATTGTGACCTTAGACGGTGAAAGACCACAAGGAGGTAAACCAGTATAGATTGTTCGTAACTGATTGACTCAAACCAAGAAGATCAATAAGTCGTTCAGACTAACTTGGCAGGTAAAGGACAACAATTATACCAAAAGAGGTTTCATTTCTTGTTAGGAAAAACAGAAATGGATAAGAAAGCTTTACCTGGGAGGAAGGAAGCATCTAGTCGCTTTTCTGACCATGAATATCTGCAAAAACAAAACGAAAGCAAGGATTTGTCATGGTGAAATTCCAGGGAAACCGAAACGCTGAACATTAAGGGGCCGTTTACTAACTAGAAATTTCTGGAAAATTTCGGAAACTGGAAAATAGAAAACAGAAAAGGAAAAACTCACAGTGATCCCCCTCCTGCTGGACCTAAAGCTTTGAAGATCGACATTGCAGTCATCGCGATACCATTCGCTGCTCCCCTTTGATCTTGTTCCTGCAGTCATCGAAACGAATGAGAAAAGCGCGGTGCAAGTGAAAGAGATTTTAGCTGGGGGAAAATGTTAGTTACCACAGCTCTGTTCTGCAGAATGAATAGTCCAGTAATAATTGACACCTGATGATAAAAGAACCAAATGGTCAAAACAGTTTATGAATTGTTCAAAGGAAAGTGTTTTCTTTGATCAATTTGATCCTATTCATGTTAAGAATACTCAACAATTATGTTTCTTTGACCCCTTGACAATTACGTAGTGGCTGCAGGTTTCCCTCGTCACCCAAGAATTTTTGGTGGTTCAGATGAAAAATATGAATGTGATCACGAGATTACTTACAGACAAAACGTTTTTCAGGAGGGATGCGCAGTTTAACACGACGGAAAGGGTGATCCCGGATAGCATTGCAATGTAGGGGTAGCTTGTCAACAGGGGTATTGACAGGACCTGTAACAGGTACAAGCATTGAAAAGATAAATGGAAGTGTTAAATTGGTTCTTGAGGAAATTTAATGGCAACTGATATCGATTTATCGAACTTGTTGGGCACTTACTCCTGCAACTCGCGACACCATTACTGTGCCAATGGCTCTCTCAAAAATGGGATAAAAAGAAAGCTGAAAGACCAGAAGGCTGAACCCTGAAAACACACAAAAATTGGCAAAATATGCACAATGAAGTGTTTTCGATTTGACTGTTTGGTTAAAAGGAAGTTTGGGAAGATAGGCAAAGTACCTGAGATTGCAAGAACCACTCCAACCTCATCTGAAGAATAGCTTAAACCGCCAAGATTTCTGGGACTCTCAGCCCATAATGAGAATATCTGAACAGAAAACCAGTCATATATACCATAAAGGGCTTGAAACTGGAAAACCAAACACCATATCTACCTCTGCATAAGCCATATCGTGAAGCGAAAAGAGACAATATACTATGATAGCTGACATCAACGGCCAATTTCTTAAAATGCTAAATTTGGAAGCCGGTTTTTCTCCATCCTTAGCCACATCAGGTGCAGCCTCTAAAGTTCTATACGAGTCGGGAGCTGAAACACTCGCTGAATCATGTTTGTGCAGCGTTTCCTGCTCGGTCACAAGTGAAGTCAAGAAAAACCGAAGCATATAAAAACAAAAAAGGCAAATAGCACAGTAAAGAAGGCATATGTACCGGCAACCAAAATGAATAAATCGTCACCATCAACGCGAAGATTGAAATGCATAGGCAAGGCAAGAGGTAGGGAAATCTGCAGAACACAATATAGTTTGTAGTCGACAAGCATTCACAAAGAGAATTAGTAAGAGCAAGAAAACCGATTTACCTTCCAAATAGAGAGTCTGCTGAGAACAATGAAGGATACTTATCTGCAGGCTTCATTCAGAACCAAATTAATTAATTAGCACAACCCTAGTAAAAAATTGCAGGTAAATAACAAAGATTTACCTGTGCAAGAAAGCCCCCCAAAGCTGGGCCTATGATTAAACCTATTCCCCAAGCTGTGCTAACCTGAAACAGATGAAAAATCGAAATAGAAAAGAACAGTGAGGATTTGCTTTCGATTGGAGGAGGCAAATAGCGGGATATATATGGATTTTAAGGACGGAATGTTACAGTTGACATTCCCAAAGATTGGTATCGATCGGGAAAGATTTCTGCAGCAAATGCCTGGAATTGGACATTCAAGAAAGACAACATAGAACATCAAATGTGAACCAATGTAAAAAAGAAACATAAGAAACAAACCATGAGGTAAAAAAGATATATACTTTTATTGGTCCAAGCAAACCATTTAAACATCCAAGTAGAAATCTTGTAACAATTGCCATCCAGAAGTTTACACTAAACCCGAAGAGAGTATTCAAGATCACCCTGAGATCAGATAAGTACATAAGCAAGATCGGATCGAATTCACTAAAGAATCAAGCTATTTAGCACCATATATAAACTAGAAAACTTATGAGAACCTACACTGAGATAGTGCCAAATATAATAACTGGTTTTCGACCATATCGATCAGCAATCAACCCCCAAAACACAGACGTCAGCGCCCTCCCAAACATGAACGACGATCCTTCACACATTCAGGCAAACAATAAGCATTCCTCATAACAATAATGATCAATCATTTCTTACAAATCCAGAAAATCGCCTACCTACATAACCTGCATAGTAACCAATATCCTCTTCTGTCTCTGCAACTTTGAAATCCCTTATCTGCCACGAAAGACGATAGTTGTATAGTATCCATTGAAATCTATTAACCAAGAAACTAAATTGACCCAAGAGGCACAAAGAACAACAACACGTTTGGTTCACAAAATAGACCTGTAAGGCTATAATAGAACAAGGCCTACTCCGGGGAACGAGGAATAGCTATTCCAGCCCCAGTATTAGGGCATTAGCCTATTCCAGGCCCCCGGTATTAGACTATTCATTCCGTGAACCAAACATGCTGCACAACTTACCATGAAGTAAAGGAATGGAAAGAGAGATGATATTGGGAGTGCTGCACATATGAACAGGATAAGTAACATGTTAAATATGGGGATTAACTAAAATTTCACAATATTAGTAACAAAATCAAACATTTTCTAGGGAAGAAGATTCAGGCCAAGAAAACAGTGGGGTGGTCGATGAACTTGAACAATAATAATGGAACATTAAGGTTGTAAGTAATATAATTTGGTCGTATATATATATATGTGTGTGTGTATGTATACCTGTACAAAGCACAATAATCCAAATGGAGATGAGCATCTTGATGGGGACTCCTGTGTACAACTCCTTCTGCTGCTCCACCTTACAGCCTGGGCAGTTCTCATAGTAACATTTCTCCTCTTTCTTCAGCAACGCCTCCTTGTACTCCGATCCCGATTTACTCGCCATCCCGACCAAACCTTAATTTTCTCGATGAAAAAAAAAAAAATGTTTTTGTTTCTGCTTTCTTCGATCTTCTTCTTCTTTCTCCGATTGTATTGAGAGAGAGATATACGAAGAAGAAGAAGAAGAAGAAGAAGGGAGAAAGTGCAGAAACCTGGAGTTAGTTAATGTTGATGGGTTGACGATTTATTACGAGGGACACCTCTCAGAAAATTGCTCCCATGTGCATTATTATTGCACCCAGAGACATAATGAGAAATGAAAATGAAATGGAAATGGAAATTCAATTTTATTTATTACAGCAGGCAAATTGGTAGATTTAATTAGTAGAATAATTAACATGTTAAAAATAATTTTAATAAGAGATCGAATAAATACATCATGATACGATTTTATTAATCATCATGCATGCAACCATGCAATCGGGCATCGGCGCCGCCGAAAGTGCATGTACGACAAGTCAATGTTCGACCAATGCATTAAATATAATTATATTGGTGGAATTATACTACTAAGTGGCACCAGGACTATGTGGTCCAATGGTACCCGGGTTGGACTTCCATTTGGAAGATTGTGAGTTCGAGCCTTAGTGGAGGCGTTATTAGCTCTTTGTGTTTCAGTAGGTTGAGAAAGTATATGAACAGATACTACATTGTAATAGAGCTAGTATCATTCAAAAAAAAAATACTACTAAGTGGCAAAGTTTGCCACCACTACTTTTAAGAAATGAAAATATATTTCGTCAACAATATAGATTCAGAAAATTATCTCTTTGTGTTTCAGTAGGTTGAGAAAGTATATGAACAGATACTACAATGTAATAGAGCTAGTAGCATTCAAAAAAAAAAAAAAAAAAGATTCAGAAAATTATCTGATAAAGGCTAAATTCAAATGACTTTAGAATGATTAATGATAAAATATCAAACACTCATAATAATGTTCAAATATAAAATACATTATAAACGACATCAAAAGAAATAATGTGCCCGGCTAAGCGCTTTTGAAGCGCCTCACATAAACCAACTATAACTTTTTCATCTTTGGTGGGATCTAATAAATCAGGTTTTTACATTAGAACCTCAAATCTTCTCTCCTCTTCATCTATCCTCCACTTCCGTTAGGTCCTAAAATAAACTATTCAAAAATTATCTATTGAGGATGTCTTTTGGTTCATAAAAAAGTATATAGAGCATATCCAATTACAACGACGGAACACCAAATTAGGTTAAGTTTATTTCAAGTATAAGAGAAGTATATTCCTAAAAAATACTCGCACAAATAATTCAAGTATTCGTAATTGTAATTATGACAAAAAATTAAATTCTAATTTTTTACCTTATAAGTCGTTGAGTTATTATGATTTACTTATTTAACATTTTATCAAAATAAATTGAAATATAGAAATCCTTGAGGTGAGGAGTTCCAAATTTTGTGCACAAACATTCTCCCCAAATCCATCGTAAAACTTTGGGATCTAACATTGCATCACTGCTTACGTATGTTACGCCTAAAAACGACAAGAACGACAGAAACAATCTCGCCATTCAGATTAAATATTCATAAATGAATTGAATAAATAACAGCTGTCACCTAATTTAAGTTTGGAATAAGGTTTAAATTGGCGAACATAACCTGAAAATGTAATTATACCACTAAACGAAAAAAATTATAATTAGACCACTGAACACTCTAAATATATACAATGTTACCATCAATTTTAGCAGGTTACCTGCTTATGTGGCAGCTGAGTTGATATTTTTAAATAATTGTTAATAATAAATTTTTAATTTTTTTTAAAAAATTAAAAATAAAATAAAATAAAATAAACTTCTCCCCCCTCTTCCTTTGTCTCCGCCGGAGACGAAGGAAGAGGGGGGAAAGCCGGCCACCCCCGTCGTTTTTTTTTTTTTTTTTTTTTTTTAAATTTCAAATTTTAAAATTTATTATTAAAAATGTCATCTCAACTGTCACGTATGCAGATAACCTGCTAAAATTAAAGGTAACTTGCTATCAAGTGAAATTGCATATATTTAGAGTGTTTAGTGACCTAATTATATATATATATTTTTTCGTTCAGTGACCTAATTAAGATACGTTCATGGGCCAATTTGAACCTTATTCCTTTAAGTTTTAGTATATCAAATGCAACGATGCTAATATAAATCAATCTCTGCAAATTTAGATCCTGTATATATATCACATAATATATCAATTACACCATTCACTAATCTCTCTCTCTATTCAAGATAAAATAGATTGCAGAAAAATAATTTGAGTATTCAAACTAAAATACTTTCAGCGAACTAGAACAACAAAATGATACACAAGTTTTCGGATTGCGTGCAGTGGGTAAAGATTTTTTACAGTGTAGGAGTAGAAAAACAAAATAAATGTTGGGATTTGATTTAATTTGCACTACCTTGTATAACCTATATGCTCGATATACAATTCAAACTCGTTTTAAAAAGAAAATTGGATATATACTAGTACAAATCTACATTGTAGAACAATGCTACTTCCCAACCTTCTCATTATCGCACCGGCTAATTTCTAACTCAAATGGTTTTACTTTGATAATCAATTTATCATTCACGCATTAACCGTTTTGAACATACAATCTATTAATTTATCTGTCTCATAGCAAAGAACTCAAATCCACTTTGACCCGATCCAAAATAAAAGCAGATCCTGCATATGTTTGTATTACAAAATAATCACTCAAAATTTCGTTTTAGCTAAAATTATCAATAATATCAATTGAGAATTATTTTTTTTTTCATGTGAGAATGATGACAACGTTAATTAGAATTTACACCGGAAATAAACCAAATAATTGAATAGAGAAGGGCGAAGATAAGAAATAAGTATAAAGGTTATTCTAGATGTAATCACCTAGGAAAGAATTGTGTATTATGTAAAATAGTTATAGTACAAAGCAGATTGTCTATTCATTACATGCATCACTATATTTAATTATACAAAACTTATAACTGATACAATCGCTCTTTGAGTCTCTCACTTCACAAGGCTCGAGTTGTTGGCTTTGAGTATTTTTGTAGCAACTCAATGGTGGATTGATTTCGTTGCCTCAATAATGAGTAAGTAAATATTATGAGTTGAATGAGAACGTTTATCTCTCGATTATACAAATTACAAAATAATACAATAGATACAAGTAGCTATAAAAACCAACTTGAAATATAGAGTCCTAACAAGTTGGACTCAATGCTAGCTTATTTTAAATATTATCTTATATTGATATTTAATTGCGTCATTTAAAAGAAAAATAAATTTACATCTTTTCTCACAAGGGAATTTCTCATGTGACAATGAATAATTGGCACAAGAATTTCCTTCATTACAATTTTATTTAATGCAACAATACCAATCTTGTTTCTTAATCACTAATTATATCACTTCCAAACCAATAAAAGTAAGTCTCTAAAATTATTGATCTACTTTATTATTTGAAACAAACAAACAATCATTCAAACGTCGCTCTCGAATATCCCTGCTATTCGAAACTTACTTTTCAACATTAAAAAAGTCACTTAATAACTTGTCCAAATTTCCATTGCACTTGACATGTGAACTAACAAATATATATAATCCACTTTCTGCCCCTTAGGCATGGCTGATTGGTTGACCGATCAACAATAAATTATGGGTTCAAGTGACAACATAGATTCTTATCAAAGCCTTTTAGCTTTTGCCTTTAATCATGAGTCTCGAGTCCTTCACGTATAGTACATATCACTCACGACACATGGGTTCCAGTGGATTTGGTATCCGACCGCATCCGAGGAAACTAGAAAAGTGTCCAAATTCCGACGTGGAAATACCATATTTTATTACGGACTACTTCGTATTATATATAAATCAAAATATACAAATATTTATATATGAATATTATGAATTATGAAATATATAGTAAATTTTGAGGGTGGTAATAAAATGTATGCTTTGTTAAAATATTTAGGGAGAAAAAATTTGTTTGTAGAGAAAGTTTGGAAGTTAGAAATAAAAAGTTTGTATAAAGAATAAAAATTAAAAGGAAAATTACATTTTTCGTCCTTAAGTTATAGAGTAATTGTAGAATTCATCCCTAAGTGTTGGTACGGTCATACTTACTTTTCATCCTTAAGTTATCATTAACGTTGCACTTTCGTCCATTTACTGATAAAACATTAGTACGTGATGAAATTTGTAATTTTAGTATAACTCATGGACGAAAAGTGAGCACGAAAGGATGAAAAGTGCAACGTCAATGATAATTTAGTGACGAAAAGTGAGCATGAAATGATGAAATTAAAAGTGCAACGTCAATGATAACTTAGGGACGAAAAGTGAGCATGACCAAACTCAGGAACGAATTCTAAAATTACCATATAACTTAGGGACGAAAAATGCAAATTTTCCAAATTAAAATATATAAGTATTTATATGAATATTATAAAACATATCGTAAAATTTAATGGTGATATATGAAATGTTTAATTTGTTCATGTATTTAGGGAGAAAAAGTTGGTAGAGAAAGTTTAGAAGTGAGTGAGAAAAAAGTTTATAGAGAAAGTATAGAAGTTTGTATAATTTTTAGAGGAAGAAAAAACTTGTAAAGTTTAAGAGAGAAAAAAAGTTTATAAATTGAGTTTAGACATGAAGAAAATATATGATAATGATGACGAAAAATAATCATTATAAAATGTATATTTTTAAATAAATAAGCATATCATTTAAATTAGAAGAATGAGTATATATGTGTAGTAACTTTAACAAATATAAGACTTGGGAGAGAGTCACATTTCTTTCAAAATTTGATGCGAAATGCACGTTGATTCCACGAGGCATATTACATTCTCTAGGAAATGTAATATAACATGAATTAAACATGAGAATGTAAGCCAAGCACTTTGTGCTTAGATGATATCCAAGCTGGACTCCTATATGAGAAGTTGTGAGTTTGAGTCTCAATAGAGATGATGTTTGTCAAAAAAAAAAAAAAAACATGAAAATGTAACATTTCAAAACACATATTTTAATCTCCGATTCCTTAAGATAATTGCGATCTTGTCTAAGTAACGGTTCATAGATGGCTAAGATAAATTGTGAAGTAACTACATTATTTAATGTCACTACGCTAATTAGTTACACAAGCATACATAACCAAACCTTAATTACTCACATTGTCTAGCACTTTGCTAAAGAAATTGGGAGGGGAGGTATGGGGAT